CAACAGTTTCTCTCTAAACATACTAATTTACCATACAATCTGGCAATCATGCTCCTTGGTATTTACCCAAAGAAACTGAAAACTTAATGTTTACATATAAACTTGCACATGGATGTTTATAGCAGTTTTACTTATAATTGCCAGAACTTGGAAGCAACCAAGATGTCCTTCATTAGATGAATGGAAAAACTGGGTTACACCCAGACAATGGAATATTAGTGCTAAAAATAAATGAGCTATCAAGCTGTGAAAAGACATAAAACAACCTAAATGCATACTGCCACGTGAAAGAAGCCTGAAAAGGCTACATACCATATGATTCCAACTTTATGACACTCTGAAAAAGGCAAAACTATGAAGACAGTAAAAAGATCAGCAGTTGCCAGGGGTTAGGAGGGAGGGAGAGATGAACAGGCGGACCACAGAAGATTTTTAGGGTAATGGACTATTCTGTTTGATACTACAATGGTAGATTCATGTCACCTTACATTTGTGCAAACTCACGGAATGTAGGACACCAAGAAGGAACCCTAATGTAAACTATGGACTCTGGGTGATAAGGATGTGTCAGTGTAGGTTCATCAATGGTAACAAACATACCTCTCTGGTGCGGGATGTTGATAATGGGTAACATAGGATAACTGTATCTTCCTCTTGATTTTTCTGTGAAACCAAAAGTTGCTCTTACAAAAAAAAAAAAAAATTCTCCAAAACAAAAAACAATAACAAAAAGCAAAAGGCATTTAACAGGGGGACTCTGGGTTCCTGTCCTGGTTCTGTCATTTCACTATTAAGTAATATTACTAAATTCTTCTCAATCCCTTTGTGTAAATGAGAGTCCTATGTAGTTCTCTCTCTCTGTGGTTTTAAACCTCAAGTTTGAGGCCACAATGTAAAAAAAAAAAAAAAAAAACTCAACAAAACTTGAAATGAGTCTGTAGAGGGTGGCTACCATAACAAAAGTGAATTTGTAAGTTGATGTTTGCTAAGCTGACCTTCAACTTGATATACTGCTTTAAAATAAATGGCATTTTTTGCTATATACAGATATTAAATTACAGGCAAAATGGACTGTGGAAGTTAAAAAGAGGGCACACAGATGCCAGCCATAAAAATACTGCCATGCAGAGAAAGAAGTTTAAAACTTTTGAATTATCTTTATGAGCTTGAACCCTTGCATCTTTGTTTGCCTACTGCTGGGTTATCAAGTAACATGGAAACTTCAATGTTTATATTACTTGAAGTGAAGAAAAACAGTTTTCACTACTTAAATTTCAAAAGGCTGTAATAATGGGGTCATGTCAATAGACAGTGCTGGCATGCTGGAGCACTGTATGTAAGCAACCATCCTCAGGAAATTCAAAACCAGAAAGAGCGCTAAGAAGAAAGCCTTCCCCATTACATGAAAGCCTCTGGGCTCCACAAGCTCTGCTGAGAAGCCCCAGGGGCTACTGATGTGTGGAAGTCTCCAACTCTAACAAAAAGATAGAGCTCTCTTGGCTGGAATGACAAGTGCAAAGTTCTCTCTTATCCAATGCCTTAAAACAATCATCTGAGTCTCCTGTAGTAAGCAGTAGTATTTGTGCAAACAATTCTTCTTCTATTGAATGTATATTTAATAAAATATTATAGTACTTTTAGGCAGACAGTGTAGTGGTCACATGGCAGATATAAACAGACAGGATCTCACAAACTAAGAGGTAAACATCTCGCTCCATTCTTTCCAAGCTGCAAGCAAAGGAAAAGAAGACCTGTTGACACAGTGTGAGAAGACTGTTCTCAATGGCGTAAGCCATGTGTTCAAGAAGACATAAACTTCTGATGCATGGCTGAATGGGAATAGAGCAAAGACTTGGGACCATCCCAGGGGCAGGAAGTACAAACTGACTTACCAGAGACACACCCAATCAGACTATCTTGGAGCAAATCTTCTTACTTCATAAGAGATCTAAAGAGTGTTTTCATTTGAATATTTCCAAGATGGTCATTATAAGATGAGTAACTGGGAAATGACTAACTGATATCATTAGCTGGATATGCCTCAACCAAATATGTTTAGAGAAGAGAAATAATTCTGCTAGAACCCAGAGCAAAACAAGATTGTGGACATTTATGTAGTGACAAATATTTTTTTTATAAAATATATTACAGTAAGGCAGTCCTCATGAATACTAAAGCCTTCCCCATTACAAGAAAGCCTCTGGGCTCCATGAGAAGCTCTGCTGAGAAGAGAGCTAAAAAACACTAAAAAACACTGAAGACAGGAGACAGATTAATGAATACTATTAATAAAATTCATAGAAAATTATAACAAGAAGTTAAAATCACTATATACATTCTTGTCAATCTTATATTAATTAGAAAAATAAAAAAATCAGATTGTGTTCCCATCTCACTGTTTAGTAAAAGCAAGAGAAATTACATGTCCAAGGTAAACAGGAAATGAAGTACTACAATAGACTTTAACAGGGGAATGTTCTTGATCCCTCAACTCACTAGATCCCACAGTCGTGCAAACTAAATGGCACTAAAATGATTAACAAGAAGATACTAACTTCAATAGTCAATCAGATTAAAAGGCAATGTATGTACATAACTATCCTGCATTACTCAAATGTGCATCTTGCCTGACACCTCAGAGAAGAGTTTGTACCCAATTTAGACTATCTGAAATAGCAGTACACTGCCAGTTGGGTGAAAGCTATAATAAGCTCCTCCAACTTTTGACTTTGATATCTCAGAATGCCAGTTCAAAAAGGGAAAAGCACTACTGAAGGATAAAAAAAAAACTGCTGAAATTACCAGATGAAATATTAACAAAACCCTTTAAATGGTGATAATGAGGATGCCTGGGGATTTTTAATAGGCAACAAGTACACCCTTCCTTATATTTGACAAGAAATATGCTCTGGCACTGAGCCAAACAGAAGTCAGCCTTTTCCTGTTTAAAAAAAAAAAAAAAGGATTCAGATTTTAAAAATATCCTAATCATATTTCAGCTAAAACTTGAGATCTCTAATGGATAAAATATGCTCAAAGACAGAACGCTTACTACATTTACTGCTAATTTAAAAGTCAAGACTTAAAACACTAGGCCTCTGAACAGCCGACTTAGCTTCCTCTTAGGCATTTTATATAACTCAGATGAACGTGGTCGCAAACAGTGGTGCCCACATTATCATTTTACAGATCAGCCAGCTAGGCTTTCTTCAGTTACAGATTCATACTGACTATACCTGAATTGATTTTTAACACCATAGTTTTTAGATTAATGTGCCTTCGTTAACCAGCGACTGTTAACAATGTGATTTATAATTTAGAGAAAGATTTTTTTAATACAAATGTTATGCAGTGCTTTGGTGTCTGTCCCACAGTAAACTACAATTGCTGATTACCAGGCCTTAATATTTATTTACTTAAGCTACTTTTGGGAAACATTAATTTAAAAAACACTAGGTACTAAACAGATAGTTTTTGAATCAAGATAAAGTAATTTCCCATCAGTGACCAATTGGGCTGACTATGTGACCTACTTAAATTAGATTAAACACTATTCAACAATGATAATGAATGTGACATTGGAAGAGGACAAGAAAAATGCTTTAAACTTTATTCGTGGCCCTTCTTCATATGTCTGTCTTGGAGTACCTCAGGTGAAACCACAAGAAATTGAGACTTCTGTAGGTCATAAAAGGTTTAATACCAGCAACTTCATATGGAACAAATTAATATCACTCTATTGCAAAGAAGTTTGAACATCTACCAACAGGGCTGATGAGATAAAGAATATTGTTTACGTGGCCATATTCCTAGCAACAATTTGTATCTATACAAAGTTTGATAGTTTATCAAAACCTTAATATTAATATATTAACATATATTATTAAACTTGGCAACCCTGTGAATTAGGCAGATTAGATAACTTGATCTCCACTTTAGAGATGAGAAAATAAGGCACAAATGTTAAGTCCCTTGATCAAATGTACAAAGATGTTAAGTCACTTGTTCAAACATTCAAAAGTAACAGAGCAAGGAATCTATCTAGGCCCTTTGACTCCAGACTTTTGCTGCAAACAACTTCCTTCAAAAGGATAATCAAAATCATCTAAGTACTAATGCATACACTCAGTGCTTACAAGTGGACAGGTTCCATAAATACCTATGTGATAAGTGTTTAGATTGAAATAGCCAAGTGCCTTCAAAAATGTGGGTAGGTATTCAAGCACATTCTAGGAATTTATTTGCTCACTTTTGCAACCTGCACCCTCACCCAGGACTTCATCCTTATGCCTTGCAGGCCTGCCTGTTCCTTACCCCTAAGGGTCACATACCTGGCTAACTGTACTATGCATCCATTAGGGAATAAAACATTGCACTAAACATACACAGTGTAGGCCTTATACCATCAATCATGGCACCGGCCTATTTTACTTATGGTAAGCAAAGCCTGGGATGTGGCTCTCAGTAATATCTATTAATTCAATGAATGGTGCATAAATCACATTGATTTTGGTAAGTTAATGACTCCACTTAAAGCTTAAAAGAAAAATTTACCACTCCAATCATCATGATTTATTGATGAAGAAAAGAAGTTTTATATTAACTTCTAAACCAGGCACTTCCACATGTTGAAATATTTAGAGTAAGAGACGGGTGGTAAAATGTAAGAAGACTCCTCCTCAACCACCCCCCCCCAACTGGCCTACCATGCAAGAAAAGAATCTTTCTTGTTTAGTAATTAAAAATAATATATATCTCACCAATGCTATCTGTAAAGGCAGAGACTGATAACCCCTTCTTCCTACTGTCTCACACTGTAGGGTGTCAATTTGCAGGAATCAAATGTCACCTGCGACCAAGAAGACATACCTGTGACTATGGTGGCTATGGGAGAAGGGGGGGTGAAGACACCTCATAACCTCATAGCTCCTGCACACACGCACATGCACACACACACCCCTCTGCTTTTGAATTATGATTTAAATGCTTTGAATACTTACTCACACAGCAGAACACCATTTTCTAGAGAAGCTCGAAAATCCTTTGTTTCAAAATTCTTCTCTGTAACTGCCTGAAAGACAGATTTGGGTGTTAATTTTCTCCTAAGCAGGGATAGCACACAAGTCAAATTCAGTATTAGATTAATTAATATGCATCTAATGTTATATCTGACAGATGTGCATATATAAACTGTTATATCCATAAGCCATTCTTTACAGAAAATTATGTTACAAAGAGAATTTAACCATTTTAGTAGGAACAAATATACGCAGAAAAAGCCACAATGAGTGTTTTCTATAATGTAACCATTTTATTGGGTGATAAAAGTTAGAAGGTAAATTTCCAACATATTTTATATTTTTTTTTAAAAAACCTATAGGTGACCTATTCTAAGAATGAATTAGAACCAATTTAAGATATAAACTTGAAATACCAACTGTGCTGAATATACACATTACTAATTTCAATTCCCTCTTTAAATTCCTCAAGTTTCATTAGAAAGCTAAATAGCAGAGGGTCCTCTTTAAACTTATTCATGAACTGTCCCTACTTTGTGTAAAGAGCTCTTTATCGAAAGATCCTAGAAAGCAGACTATCAAATCCTGACATGCAGAAACAAAAGAGAGACAGGTAAGATGGTAAATATTTTAAACTGACAATTCCCAACTTAAGGCTATTATGTATGAACAGGCCACCTGCAGTTACCACCACCAATGATCTTAGTGAAACCACTAAAAAATATCTAGATTCTGTCTCTAGAGGGTAAAGTGACTGGTATAGGGAAGGGGATTCCATAGGGGAAACAGTAACAGAGAAAATGGAGACTACTGTGGGGAAAAGCTGCTTCAGGAACAATTCCTAGGCCTGGGTCCCCATCTGGGTGGGAGGAAAGGGAGCCAACAGTAGTGACATCACCTGTCACCTAAAGAATAATAAATCGTACTTTAAAATGTGAACCCATTCTTATGTTAAGAATCCAGTATTCTGAAAGAAATTACAGACTTTTGAAAGAACTCTTTAGTAGCTCTCATCTAACAATTACTCATTTAGTTTTTCAATAATTTTGAACCTTACTCATTAGCAAGTTATTTAAGGTGTGAAACATTTTACGCAATGAGCCTGTGATTCATAGGACCTAAATAGAGACCACGTGTTTCCCACTTAAGTTATCAAAAGTCAACACAAACAGGAGTGATCACTATGCAGTCAAACAGCCACACCTTGCCTTTTGTACAAAATATTTTCCTCTCTCTCGCTTCCCTCTTTCCATATTTTCCTAACGCAGTTAAATAAAACCACTGCCACCTGAAATAATCCGAGGAGATGGGCATTAGGGGACAGAACCTGGGGTTTAAGCCTGGACTCCTCTCACAAGACACACTTCTATGTCACCACTCAGCCCCCTAATTTTTAAAGGGAAAGAAATACCTGCCCTATCTACTTCACAGTACACAAGTGATATGTGAAAATATCTTGTCTCTTCTAGGAAAAAGTAGTCCAGCAGCCATCCTGCTGGAAAGAAGCTACAAATCGACATGGCCGAGTGTGAAGCCCTTGGGTGAGACTCTTCCTCTGTGGTTATAATTAGTCCACCAGAGCGTGAGAAGGGCGGAGCAGCCTGCCCAGGGCATATTCTGTACAAACACTGCTGCCAAACCTGTCTTACCACCTGTAGCCTCCAGAAAAGCCCTTGATAGGTTTTTAAAGGGCAGATTTTGTGGAAGAAAACATCAGCTAAAATACATAGGCAATAAGTGCCAAGTTCATAGATTCCAAAAAAAACCCATGCCTTTTCCTACGAAATGTATTAATTTAATAAACAAATGGGAATTATCTTTATGCTCTTTACTGTTTTGTTTATGGCTTTATTTTAATCCTCCTGCTGGGTAAGATTTCCCACCAATAGAAGCAACGAGCTTCCTCAAAGCTCCATCGCTCAGTTGCAACTCTGACCACATAATCCACAAGACTTAAATCCCAAACATTCTGGGAACCTCTCAAAGACCACTTCATACCAGACTGGTTAGCAGCAAAACACCCACAAATGCAAGTCAGCAGGCACTCGTCCCCTTTAGATTTTTTCGGTTTCTTTTAAGCACCCATTTAAAAGGCGTCTAGAATCCCAAAAGCACACACTACCATATTTTTGTGCAAATCACAGTGCAAAAACATAGTGCCTGTTTGAGCTTGTTTTAAAAGGGAGTAAGGGGTGTTTCCAGGCAAAAACTAGGCTATGAGCTTCAACTGGGCTCACAGTTGATTCCAATTAAGTTACTTACTAATTGACAGATCAGCTACTAGCTCATGATATTTAAGATACACATCATTATCATGCCAATCATTTTAACATCAGTAATGCAAAAAAAAAAAAAAATTCCGAGGAACATTTAACATTAAAAGCCACGTGGTACACAGAGACCACACCATGAAGCTCTTCACAAGACATAGGTCTGCCTTAATTGTCCACTCATGGAGATAAGTGAGTGTTCACATATTGTGACCTTATATTGAGATGGCCCACACAGGGCATTGTTTCCACAGAGAGAAGCCCCGGGCTGGTACACATTAAGGAGGTGGACACTTTTTAGTTACCCTCCAAAGCTGTCAGTAAGTTAAAAACACCCCTATCTGCTCTCTTTCATTAAACTTCATTTTTGAAACAACCATTATATAATCCCTAGGACTTCACAAAACAGGTCTTATTTTTATAATGAATTCCATGAGATGTCTCTCATTATTTATGACACGGCAATGTTGACAGATCTCATCAGTCACACATGCCAAAGATGTATAAATGCAAGGATTATGGCTCTCTGTAAACATGTTAGGGAAAAACTGAACATAATTTTAAATAGAACAAATGCCTATCTCCTATCTCTTTCCTGTTCCAGAGTAAAATTATTGGATAGGTCATTTGTGATACTAGAGAAGCCAAAAGGTTGGGTTTGGCCCTTTCTAAACTACTCTCATAGTGTGAGCCACATCCACCCCCCCCCCAAAAAAAAAGAACTTAGAGAGGCTGAGATGGGAGTACCAGATGCCTCGAGCAATGAAGATTTAGTCTCCTAACTTCTCCAGGCCTCAGTTAACCTCAGCTACAAAACAGGAACCCAGATTATGACAGCCAACACTTTAGGCCTGAATCCTCAGAGCAGTCCTATGTGTTGGGAACTCTTACCCTCAGTCTACACATGAGGAAACTGAGTTACAACTCAAGTTGAGACCGATAACATAGCTCCCTAGATAACAGGGCACTGAGCACCGAATGACAGTGTCTGTGAAAGCACTCTGCGAACTCTCAGATGTCATTAGGGACTTACCCTCTGTGTCCCCAAGCATCCCAGGCTGCACTGCATACTCCCAAAGGCAGGACTTTCTTAGCCCACTTCCCACTGGCTGAAATACAGCTTACACCAGGGGTCCTCAAACTTTTTAAACAGGGGGCCAGTCCACTGTCCCTCAGACCGTTGGAGAGTGTGGCGCACATTCCACACATGCGCACTGTGTGCCCGGGACAAGTCGGCTGCTAAGCAGGACAGGCAGCGACGGCAAAAACACCCAGTGGGCCAGATAAATGTCCTCCATGGGCCGCATGTGACCCATGGGCCATAGTTTAAGGACTCCTGGCTTACACATATCATCACTTAGGTTTTACTCTTCCTACCAATAATTGCCATTTATTTACAGGAATTAAAGACAGAAAAAGACAAAACTGATGGTTAGATTTCAGGTATGTGTCGAATGGATGAGGGGATTGGTTGTGTTTTGGAGGAAGAACCTGCCTCAGTTGCTGAAATCACTTTATTAAAGTAGCCTTCTCCTGCACAGGACAGAACCCATCCTACTTTTGTTAACAACTCAAGAATAAAAACATACAAGAGTCCGTGGAAACATGTCACTCTAGTGATACACGCCTTTTTGAAGCAGAACATTGCTGGTTGAAACCTTCAAAGTTGAAAACTTATCACCACTAGTGATTTGCTACATGAAAGTTTTTCCAGGCTAAAGATACGTTAGAATTTAACTTTCCATTTAAATAATCTGTCTTAATTTTAACTAAGATATATAAAAAGCATTCATTTATTCATTCATTCAGAATTCATTTAATGGCAATCTGTTATCTACATACTTGGCATGGTGCATGGCACTAGGAATATAAAAAGATGAAGCAATTCTTGGAAATTCCTCTGTAAAAAGTCTAACCCTGTTTTGAAATTTGTAGTCAAAATGGCATATGTGGTTAACCCTCTGAATTACAGTGTGTTCTTGGTTAACTTATATTGTACATTCAGCAAATAACATTCCTTTAAGGGACATAATGCTCAAGTTACCAGCCTCTGCTAAGATTTGGCATTGTACTACATAATATTCTGGAGTATGCTAGGGCTATTTTTGCCAATACTAATATCATTTGATAGCAAAACCAAAGCCAGCTCACAGTCTTCCAAGATAGTGGTAATCAGAATTGCACAGATCACTGAACTATAAATGGAATCCAAAAGTTTCACAGTGGTCACAAGTCTATACATTTTTCCTGCCCCAGTACTACCTTAAAACCTTCATCTTAGAGCAGCTAGTATAAATTATACCTCCCACTTTACCTTCTTCTAGGGAAAAGCCAACAAGTCAGGAGGGAAGAGACGGGAAACTGACAGCAAAATGCAAAGCGCCATCCAGGTTGTGTGCCTCAATAATTAAAAGCCAACTGTCTAACACTCAAAATCTTCACTCAATCATCATTAGTCCAAATGTCAGTTACATTCACATTTTGAGGGTAAAAAGATCCAGAATAAGTTTAAATATAATTTCTAGTTTAGAAGAAGCAGCCCACTTCCCCATATCAGAACCAAATTTTAGCTTATTTTCAAATTATTTTTGTTCAACCACAATTTTTTAACAAGCCAAAAATGAAATACAACTGAAGAAAACTAAACAAAACTAAGAAAAGAAAGGCAGTTTGACTACAGGGCTGACAATTTATGTGCGGGGTTTCATCAATACATCAAAATCCAAGAAACCTGAGCCCTATTAGCAGTCGGTTAAGTTCACTGCAAACATCACATACAAAAA